TCTGTTGTAAAACCTTTTTTATAAAATCTTTATGGACATTTTGCAATGGGATTTATTAATAGACTGATGAATATAAATTCTAGATTGGATTCAGGCGAATACGCGATTGAAGAGCATTTTAGTCGAGAAAGTGCTTTAAGCGGTTTATTCAAGTCAACAAGCTTCAGCTCCTGTACTCAATTCCCCTCGAACAACTTAACGCTCTCCGGTGCCCAGGGCAGTATAGTCTCAGCTTTTACGCAGCTATGAACATGGACAGCTACTGACCATTGACTTGCTTGCTGGGATAAAAAATGGCGATTATGGCGAATAATTTAGCAAACATTGGTCAATAAAATAAATGTGCTTGGTGTAACTTAAATTATATCTAGAAATAATATAACGTATTATACCTAGCGTGTACGTATAAGGTTTCCTTTAATATCAAATAAACAACGTACTTATGAAAGGGCAACATGCGAAATATGAAAGGAAATTGCGTCTAATATTCGCCTAGAGGGTAATTTAGGCTCTAGTAGTTGTTGGGTTAATTAGGCTCCAGGTAGGTTCTGGAGATCATTTTAGTGATATGTGAGGTGTTTGTGGGCCTGCCTGACACATCCACAAAGAGCAGTAGGAATCTGAAAATAACTTTGTGGTTCCAACGGTTTTGTGTGTGGCAACCGAGGGTGTAACTGGATGTTGATTGCCTATTTCAGTGGCATGGTGCAAGTGGTCGGTAGGTTGTATCCCGGTCTCAATTTACCAGTAATTGACGACATAAAGCCTCACAATGGGAACGCATTTGAGTCCCGCAACAAAAGACCGCATTTTGGTCTCCCCATTTATATTTATTTGTAAATTCAATTAAACTTGTGTGAGTCGTAGGTATCTATAGATGTTTGTTTTAAGATATTAAAGGATCATGCCCACGAAAGTATGGATATTTGTCCATTGTTTGCAGGCCTCGCATAAAAACAAAAAAAATTGAGAACTTAATTATTGCCAAACGGTTTGTCACTGAACATAACATAATTATAACAGAAGTTCTGGAGTTATTGAATGTTAAAGTTAGGTAGGTATCGAAAGAGACAAAAGTGTTGAAGTTTGGTTCTCTATGCCCCAAACTCCACAGAAAGGACAAGGAAAGGACATAGGACGTAGGGCATGAGGCTTGACGTTTGACATCGCGACGTTTCCATACAAAATGTACGAAAAAGTATTGACAAAGGCACACACAAGCGTCGCCAAAGCGTCGCATCTATGACAGCTAGCGTCAAAAACTAAGAAGAATATTTGACGATCACTTGTCTGTCAACTGTCATTCTTACGTCCTATGCTGTCGTCTTTTTGGTGGAGTTTGCGCCTTAGGTGTATTTCGTTATCTTCGGTTAGTAGTAAAGAAAAGGTACACACTTCAGTAAAATCTTCGGGTCTCTATGTCGTAGACACCTTACGCGTGTGCACCCACAGTACTGACATAGTACCTATGTTGATTAAATGTAAAATGGGGATGGGGTTTGCAGCTCTGATGAGGAAAATGAGAAGATGTGTGAGGAAGCTCTTCGTTTATGGGCGAGACAGCTGCTCTTCAAAGGAACATTAACGATTATTGGCTGGGCGCCGGCGTACTTACATACAGTCATCGCGTCGGCCTCAAAGCTCTACTGTAAAGTTATTTGAACACCATCATGTCAAAATGTTAACAACATTTTTTTTCGGTAACGAAACGGGACGTGAGATACAAAATAATGTGTCAAACTGTAGCCTGAAAAAAGGAAGTAGGAGAAAACTGGTTCAGAAGAAACGTAAATAGAATAGGATATAACCGACCTACTAGTAGATACTGCTTGTCTTAGATACCGAAACGCAAATAAACACGTCAGCTACTGTGGAGCTAGTGCAGTGGAAGCCATTTGTAGTCCCACAGCGATGTTACACGAAACTTCCATTCTGGTACTCAGAGCGAGGAAATGGTTTAGTTACCCTAACACACATTAGATTTGCTGCGAGTTCAAGCACAACTAAAACACAATAAACCGAAAACCTCGTGATAGAAATAAATAAAATTGTTGCTAAAGTAAATTCCAATTTTAGGTACAACAGAGCAGCTCTGCGGAACGCTGGAATTGTAAAATCCAATAGGTAGTAAGCAAACAAGCTGTAGGTAGTCCGTTTAAAATTGTTTACAAAATGTTTTGGATTTCAATGTTTTTCTTTATTAATATTTTATGTTATTATTCGTTTAGAGTGTATTCGAACGCCTGTTAGGTAGTTATGTCTGAGTTTGCACCCGGTTATTCATTTCCTCTCTAAACTGTAACCCTTAGCGGATAACGAGATTTATATACCAAGAGTATACGGTTACCGTTCCCATTCGCCATTTCTCAACATTCAAAGAGAATCGGGCTTTTCTGTGAGGCTATTCTCCTCCTGTGTACTGGTGACGTAAGCCAATATGAGACATACGGGGTGGTACCTACCTATACAAATAACGATCGTCTTGTTCGTCATTCGTACCAAGTGGGACACCTAGGCGACCAGCGACCAGCGACCTATATAAACGTGATTAAGTAACGACCGCTTGCCGTGTCCTCCGAAGCAGAAAAATGTATATAAGGGTCAATTTGATTTGCAAGTACCTAATAAAACTGGACACAATTGCATATAAAAAGAATTTTACAAATATCGACTTTGCGTGTTCTTCCTTGCGGGGGCATCAGGATTCTCGGCGGTTAGGCCACGGAGTTTTGGGTTTTGTCAAATTATACTCAACAAACTGGCATTTCTCGGCGGCCTTACTACATCTACTACCATTCCCCTGGCTACTATTTTTGGCTACATTCGGCCACGCGATACCGCTTGGCACCTGTTACGTCCACACTAAATAATTCACACATCCACTTTTGTACTACCCGTGGTAGTGGCTCATGATCTTGACCTCTTAATAATAAAACATTCGCCACTAAAGTTCACGGACTCGTATATAATTTCCTGTTGAATTCACTGTAAATATTTTCAGGGAATGTTCTACTCGTGAAACTGAACCACTTTTCTCTGTAACATTTTCCGAAATATGAAAAACATTTGGAGCTCCCATACAAACTGACACATGTTTTGAAATTTTTGGGATGTATGGGAGGTTCAAAATATTTTTACATATTTCGGAAAAATGTTACCAAGAAAAGTTGTTCAGTTTCACGAGTAGAACATACCCTAAAAATATTTGTAGTGAATTTAATACGACCTTAAATACAAGACGGAACTAAAATGGTATAATAACGTAAAAAGTCAAAGTCCATAGTTATGGACTTCTCCGATCAGATACAGCTGCATCTAATGAGTGATTTTAAATAGGCGATTGAAATTGGTATATCAAGTTGTTCATATCGTTTAATGGAACACCACGATAATGAGTATACAATTTATTATAGAATACAAGTCCATTCCTACTTAAAATTTAACTGTTTTATTGGGGGCACCGCCCTCTGGCGAATACAATATACGTAAGCTTCAAAAAGAGGATTAATAATACTCGCATGCTCTCAAATGTAGCAAAAGAATCAACACGTAATAAATTGAACGTTCCGTCTCGAAACGTACGCGCGATTCATAAGCAATATTACTTTTAGGAAGAAGGTTCCATGCCCGACCGACTTCCATCCACATACGTAAGCCTTACACAATTTTAAGTATCCATTGCTACTTTTGGTAGGTGTATGTTTTGAAATAAATAATACTTACAATCTGCATATTAGCCTAGCCACGTCTCGTCGTACCATATGCAGGTACGTCTCTAAGATAAGTACCAATTTTGAGGAAACAAAATCTTGCAATCAATATTGACCGATCTACTTACTACACGACCGAATATAGTGTATGAACAAATATTTTAAGGGGTGAGCCAGCCCATGAAACTATACAACTTTCCCAAGGAACATAGGGTGAAATATGAAAAATATATGTCACCGTGAAATAGCAATTACCGCTAGATTACAATATTTCTCGCTACATTACAATCTGTCGAAATATTGTAAGACGTACACACGGATCACACATTTAACGTATCAATTTTCAAAAGATTTCAATATTACGAAGTAAAACGGTGAAATTGTCAACACGCGTTCTGATTGGTCGAATGTCGATAGGTAACGAACGTAAGCAAATAGTGCTGACGAGATTATTTTCAACACGAACTTATAAAAAGGATACAAAAAATAAAAACTGTTCGTTTACGTTCGAGAACTAACGAAATGGCAATCAGCTGTGAAACAAACATGGCGTCGCTGACAACATGATGTTTGACTTGACCAATCAGAAGGCGAGCTGCGTATCGTATCACAGTTTTACGGTTTTAGTTCGTAATATTGTAATCTTCTGAAAATTTATACGTTGAATTCTAATACGTGTGAATGTTTTAAAATATTTCTACAGATTATAATTTAGTAAGATAGATTATAATCCAGCGTTGTTTGTAATTTTACGGTGACATATACAAATGTATTGGATGGTACATATGGAAAGTTCGAATTTTTTGTCACATTTCGACCTAGGTTTCTCGGGAAAGTTATTCAGTGTCACCTACGCTGCTGAGACGAATCTAACTACACCTCACTTGTCTCGACATACATAACCCTCCTGAGCCAGTCGGGTAAGTACCAAAACTTACAGACAGTAGCTTTGCAGCAATGAACAGCCTGGGTGGATGGCAATTCACAAACGTTTTCCAAGTTTCCCGCCATTTCATCGGTTTCCAAATATTCAAGTGAAATGAGTATGCGTACGACCGCCTCATAAAACAAACTTGGTAATTGTATGAAATACAATCGAAAGGTTCGCGAAAAATTCATATCCGATATCAAGTACAAGATTTCATGGCGTCATTCTGTCGTATAATCGTGAATAGCCTGATTGATCATGGAGATGTAAAGTTAAGTTTGACAAAAATAGAAAAGTAAAAAAGAATAGAAATAGTAAGTAGTTTTATAATCACAAGTGAAAATGAGAAATAGAAAAAATCATATATCGACCGGGAATCGAACCCGGGCCGCATGGGTAAACGCCCCACCGCTCTGCCACTGAGCTATCGATGCACCGGTTTTTATAATATATTTAGGGCGAGGAAATGGCGAGTGAAGGCCCATCCCAAGGAAGATCTCGAAACTACGAATTAATTAAAAATAACGTCGATTAAGTGCTGTGGCACCATACAATTAAAAATTGACATAGACTTTGTAGAGATCGTACATAAACATTATTCGCAGTGCGAACCAGAATTACAACCAATAAAATCGAATAATTTTTCAGAAGTCCTACAAAAAACCTGCAAAGACTGTCTTGATATGGAAAGCATAAAAAAAAATATATGAAAGAAAAAAGGAGTTGAAATACGAAGAAGTTTCCATCATTCAAAGCTACCAAAATATCAAAAATATTTTTTTTAAGCGAGGAATGAATATCTTTGTGTTCCGAAAACCATATTTAAAAGCGCCGATGATGTAATAATACCCAACAAATATAAACCAGTGCTACTGATTGACTGCAAAGTAAATTGACCTGTGCTAATCTTTGCATCCACTAAAATCATCCAGCACGTTGTGGGCATACAGCACTATTTTTGAGATGGTACTTTTGATTGCTGCTCAGCACCATTCTCCCAATTATATACTATTCATGGGGACCTGGGTAGCACTGAGACGAGCACAAATATTGTGCCTCTATTTTATATCCTTTTAACAAAGACAAACAAAGAGACTGCGACTTATGAAGTCATGTTTAAAAATAATAGAAGCGGTTCCGGCATTCAATCCAGCCAAATTTACGCTGGATTTCGAAGCCTCAGCTATAAAAGCGATTCAAAACATTTTTCCCGACGCCGTTGTACCTCTCCTTGTAAAAGAAGATGTGGAAGATGGTTGTCTGACCATCATGAAAGACAGGTAATATTATTTGTCGCTATACCCAACGCTAGGCCTATCTATCTAATGAGCGTTTTAAACATAGTTCATTTGTTAAAGTCTTTCGCGTTTTGCACACATTATTATGGTTACTTAGTAGGTAAACATTTAACAAAACTTTGGCAATAGAACTATAAAAATAAAAATGATACCGAATACATACATACATCTATCACGCCTATATCCCTCGCGGGGTAGACAGAGCGTAAATGGCTGTATAAAACGGCTATTTACATCACCTCTGACACCTATCATCATAGTGACAGGTTATCAGCCTGTCCCCAAAAATTGCAATACACATCAACTCTCAAATCCCATATTTATTAGATTCTTACGACACCCGCGGAAAAGATATGGGGTGAAGCTATTCTAAACCGGCACCACCAGTTTTGATATTATGTTATAATAATATAAAATTTAACCTATTTTATTCTAGCTCAACTGAAGAACAAGTCATAAAATTTAACCGTTCAACGATTACTTTGTGACACAATAGCTGGAGGACCCCGACATAATCACCAAATGGTGCTGCCATGGAGAGCGCCATAGGACCACCAACCTAGTAGAAGCATGGAATCAGCGCCTCCAGCAGTACGTCGGTAGCAAACCAACCCTGATATTCGTTCTGGATATGATCGAACTGGTCATTTCATCATACGATATTTGTCAAGCTAGGTAATAATAACATTCTTAATTACCTTCATAATGACAGACAGCCTGATGAACATACCCTTCGATAGCGCACCGAAAACAACCGAATCAGATAATTCGTCTATTTTTTTTGCTTTTATCTAAATTATTTATTGATATACATTTTTTTTCTGCAGCTTTCGACAAAATCAGATTCCAATCAGTCAGAGGAAACCTAAAAGCGTGGAAAATGATCGAAATATAGGCCTGTGGACATTCCAGTAATGAAAAAACGAAATAGGGATACGAGAATTTTTGAAAACAATTGCTGAAAATATTATAAGACTAACAAAATTGAATTATTTACATTGTAATATAATATACCTAGCTGTAAATATTAAGTATTAGATTAGATTTGTTAATATTAAGAAGTAGATTATAAATAATAATATTTGTAAGTAAGCATTTTATTTTATTAGTTTCTCTATAAAGATTTGATATTAGTTGTACGACTGGCTGTTGATGTTGGTGTTGTCTACCGCCGCAGTAGTCCAATGCTGGACATGGATTCTCCCTATTGGATTTGCCAAACTCATCACGATTGACAGGCTAATCGGCGAGCAAGAATGATAGTTTTCACAATGTCATAACCACCCGAAGAACCCTTACGACGCTGGGCGTTCCGTGGGCCGCTGACATGAATGAGTAGGCAATTGCAGGCTGAGCCACCTGATCAGCAATCATGGAACCTTTGCTGGAGACTAGAGAGGGGCTCGATTGCGGCGGAACCTTCCTTACTACTGCGACGAACGAGAGCTTACGAAGCGTCGCGATGCTCCTGTGCGCGAGCTACAGCGGCGTAGAGTAGAGGTAAAAGTCGTAAAGGGATTTCGAGAATAACCGGATTTCGCGACTTTCCTGCGACATATATACCAACCAACACTATCAACACTGTAATCGAAAAGACCATTCGCTGCATTCGCTGCCGTATAGCTTTACCTTTTGAAAATAAAATGAAAAAATGAAAAACGCATCGTGTAGTCTTCTAAACTATAGAGCAACTCATACATATCTGGTATCTGCCTGTCAAAAAAACAGTATGTTCCTTTAGTCTAGTAAACCAGGCTAAGGCTATACACACCTACAAGTATACAAAGTATAAGATCGAATATAAAAGTATCGTATAGTACAAGAAAATGTTAAATAATAAAATAGATTTACGATTCCTTTTAAGTGCTGGAAGCGTGAGAGGTTATAGATAGGTAAACATGTATCAATTATTTAAACCACGTAATCAATGGGGGTGTTCAGTTTATTGATTGTGATTGCTTGGTATTTTCATTCTTGTAAACTTGTTGATTTATTCAGGCTGAAAAAGACTGGTTTCGAATTGCAGAAAACGGTACAACGGACCTGCTGATGTTGAAGGGGCAGACAGAAAAGCAGTATCTACGTTAAAATCAGGCACCTTAGTACTATTATAAGAGTTCCTATTAATTCAGTGAAAATATTTACATGGTTATTAATCAAGGGAATGGGCAGCAGCGTTCCCTGTAAAAGCAACATCTTGCACTGAACTCGCCAATCCGCCTGCTAAGCATGGTGAGTATGGCAATACCCGATAGAGGAAGGTCCATGTCCAGTAGTGGACTGTTGTGGCTGTTATGGTTATGGTTATTCACATGGTGTGTTCTACTTGTGAAACTGAACCGCAACCACCTAGTACTTTTAATTATATTCTGGGCCACAACCATTTTTCTGTAATCCCAAAAGGACTAGGATTAAAAAAACTTTCTATAGCGTTTTTGACAAAAACAAACTTTTAAATAGCCCCGATTCGGTACCTAATTGCCTATACATCCAGGCGACAAATTTACTGTCCTACACCGTATTGCGGAGAAAATGACTTAAATTAGGTTAGAGCGATGTACTGAACAAGTAACACTATAGAGCTTATGCCGTAAATGAGAAAGAAAATTGAAATTTGACATCAAATCCTACTTCTCTTTTATGAATATTTCTCCTTTAGTGAAAATAGTTCAGAACGATGCTCTTAACAACTTCCAATTTAACGCATTTCCTCCGAAACACAGTGTTCTCTAGCTCAAAGTTGTGATCACGGCTGAGTAGCTCTTCTAGTAAAAGCTTGAGTAAAAGTGGCACTAAAGCGCCACCGGTCGGTATTATACGCAACAAACGAGCGAGGGAAAACTTCTGTTTCAGTACTTTTAAAGCTGTCAAGTCTTAAAAGTTGCAACTAGAAAAGCCAACTACTTGCGAGTGTAGACGTGTTTCCGAACTATCTATAACAGTACTATCGATAGATTTCTTTCGAAAAACCCATTAAATAAGCGATAGGCCGTTTTTGGGAAATATTGCAAAATTTACCACCGCAGTCTAGATTTGAACTAGCGACCTTCGCCATCTGCGATGGAAAATTTTGCAAGTTTTCCAAAATTGTATACCTAACACGGGAAGTGTTAAAAATAATCGATAGTTTTTAAATCACAAAAATACCGGAGACCGTTTGCGCGGACCTTTTTGCAGGGGTCTATCACCACTTTCAAAAAGACCAGCAAACGCAAGCCACGACAAAGGGGGGCAAGCCGTGTCAAGACGACCAGCAGTCGTCGTGACAGTATTGCGAGGTAGCCGAATATGACGTCACCCAGCGCCAGGAGTTCAAAAACTTAGACATAGATGGCAGGCAGGTGACAATGGGCACAAGATAGGAATGTATGTCGAATAAAAAGGGGCACAGAATAGGTTTAAGCTTCATACAAGCCACGTATCTCAAAAGAGGATCCCGCTCCGATTTGAATTTTCGATTTATGTGACCCAGCAAGCGTCTACTGAGCTTTCCTACTGCATTTTCTACTAAGGCCTTGACATGGCGGCGTAGTACAAAGGAAACCTTATCTATCAATACATGATGTCATTATTGTCTGAATATCTGATCACTTCTATTCAGCAACCGTCATTACAATCAGTGTCATTGTAAGGCCGTCGTATTTTATAAATTATACCTTGGCTTTCTTGAATGCAAAATAAGGGTCATTTCATATCGATTTTTACAACTTACTGGTAAACAAATTGTCATGCTCTATTCAAGATTTTAATGATAATATTGATAATTCATAAATTACTTCTCGTACACATAAAATCATATTAAAGAACAGAAACCCGACTTCGGTATTTCTACATACATGCATACATACTCTCGAAACATACCTCTCTCCTTTTGAAGCCTTCGAGTCAAAATTGAGATAAATATGATACAAATATAGCGTATTCTGCAATGCAACAAACGTCCGCGATGGGTGTGGCCAATTTCGCAAACTTGATATTATCTGGTTGCAACAACAGAAGGCAATTAGACTATCTCATCTGGTTCTAAAACAAGATTTACTTTTTAATACGTTTTAACCCCAAAAATGCAGTCTGCTGTTTTATTTCATCAAGTAGGCGTATGTAGCTTAGAACTGTCTAAAACTGCGATTTTTAAA